GGCATGTCACCCATTGGAGAGGCAGAAATCCAGCCAACAAACCACAGCCGTGACTCGGGCATGACTAGCAGGATGGGCGTCTGGCGCCCACTTCCCCTTCTCAGCACTCAGCACTCAAAGGAAATAACGCTGACCCAGTGCTGTGTGCTCCTGTTCACAAAGATCACGCTTCATAATCGACATCACTTATCTCTAAGCAGAGTGTTCACCATCTGGGGGGCGGGGACGGGGAGGGGAGGGCAGGGTGCTCAGGGCACGGCTTGTTAAGGCCAATCGAGCTGCAGCAGGTGCCAAATCCCGCGGAGCCGAGCATTCCTGCCCGTGAATGTGGTCACACCACCGCTCACCTCACAGGGTTGGTGTGAAGATCCAGGAGGGAATACACATGGAAGGGCTTGGTGAACGTGAAAGCCCGGTACAAACCAATGAATTACTCCTAACGTCTCCCAGCCGTGTGGGACCTCAGCAAAGAGGCTCCGGAGACCTGAAGGAAATAAAACACCCAGCTCCTTTGGGCTCAGGGACACGACACTGGGCTGGACTCAACGTCCTTGGGTTTGCTTCCAAAGTCATTCTGCCTCAGGCAGCCCTAAGCCAGTGGGGCCCAAAGTACTTACAAGCCCTTTACAAGCCAGGCACGGTTTGAACTGCTCTTCATGTATGAACTAGGGAATCTCACAATGAGCTGATGAGGGAGGTGCTGTTATTATACCCATTTTACAGATGAAGAGACGAGGCACAGTGAGGCTAAGTAACTTGTCCAAGAGTGTCAGAACCAGGATTCAAACCAGGACATCGTTGTTTCAGGAAACAGGCTTAATAAAATATAATCTATTGTATAATTAAGGTCCTCATTCTAACATTACACTCCCTCCCACTCCCCACCTTGTGCAAAGCGCACACACGTGTCACACTGCTGCCCTGGGCTCGGGGCGGCCCCTTTTCCATCTCAAACCTCTCTCTACCTTCACCTTCCTGTTCTCGCCTCCAGCTAAAGGTGGGAGGCTGCCCTCCATCTCTCCAGCCCCGATGGGTGGTGTTCCTGCGCTTCCTCCACCAACCGACTGCCTTCTCTTCCACATTTTCAACCCCATCTCTCTTGGTCCCTTCACCTCCGCCTGCCTATGAATGCTGCTCCAATTTCATCCTCCCTCCGTCAAACCACCCCTCACCCTATCCCACTTCCGCCTACCTGCCCAGCCACCCAGGTGCTCAAAAGGAAGCTAACCTTCCTCTGAAGCCCCACATCACCAGTCTCTGCTCCTCAGGGCCTAAAGCCGGGGCCCCTTCCCGACCTCCCAGGAGGCTCCCTGGTGCAGCCTCCTGTGCTCTTCCTCCCAGACGCCTCCCCTGCCAAGCCCGTCGCCATTCTTTGCCCTCATGGCACCTTCCACCCAGACCTGGGCAATGTCTCGGAGGCGCTGCTGCCACTTGGCGCTTCCGGAGCCACCGCCGCAGGTTTTCTGCTGCCCAGAACCTACCATCCGCTCCCCTCCCACCCGTCCTTCCCCGTCCTTCCCAGTTCATGCCCCTCCGGCCCCCTCCCTGCACTCCACACCCGTGCTCCCCATCACGGCCACTTTCCACCTTCACCTCCTGACCCACCGGGCACAGTCCAGCGCCCGTCACTTGCTGAGTGTGCCTTCACCAGCTCCCTTAACCTCAGGTCTGTGAAGCTGGCACGAAAACACCACCCTTTACAGAGACGAGACGGAGGACCACACGGGTAAAGTGACCCACCTCAGAAACGGCAGGCCAGACCCTACCCCAACCTGGCTGGTTCTCAAGCCAGATCTCTCACTCCTCTCGCCGCACTGAGGCCACCCTCATCTCTGTATCCCGTCAAGGACCCAGCTGGCATCTGAGCGATTGGCTTTTCAGTCTCCAAATCGCCAGAGCACAGAGGGCAGTCAGGACATTGTCAACAAAGAGGACAGATGCACCTACGATCCCTGGATGTCAGGGCAGCACATGCTGACAAGATGGAGGGACAGGGCGCACCCAGGGCTCACACACAGGCCCGCGTGCCTTCCTCAGCAAGCACCTGATAACAGGAGCAAGGTGTCCGCCTTTACCAGGATACGGAGCACCTGGTGCTGATGCCAGGCCAGTAAATACACCCACTCGGGAGGAAGGACTGTGCCCAGTAGGGAAAAGCACACCAATGTTCGAGGTCCGCCAGAGCCAAAAGGGCACGCGATCCAACGGGAGCTCAGTTCTGGTTGGGGGCTCGATCCCCAGTAGAGGGTGTGCAGGAGGCAGCCGATCATTGATTCTCTCTCATCACTGATGTTTCTATCTCTCTCTCCCTTCCTCTTTCTAAAAAAAAAAAAAAAGTCAACAAAAACATATTTAAAAATAATAAGAATAGTTTAGGAAAGGCTAAAAAAATGTCAGCAACTACAGCAACTTGCTAAAAGGACTCCACTAGGAAGATGCATGAAAGCATCTCCTCACATGGAGGAGCTCTGAACACCAGCAACGGGACCTGTCCTCCAGGCTGCCCTTAGGAAATCCTGCCCTCCCCACCGCCCCCCCCCCGCTGCTGTGGCTCAGTGGTGAGCGTCCACCTATGAACAGGAGGTCACGGTTCGATTCACAGTCAGGGCACATGCCTAGGTTGTGGGCTTGACCCCCAGTGGGGACAGTGTAGGAGGCAGCTGATCCAAAATTCTCATCATTGATGTTTCTATCTCTCTCCCCCTCTCCCGTCCTCTCTGAAATCAATAAAAATATATCTTTTAAAAATCCCAACGAATAAAGTATTAAGTAACTCATATTCAAACGCTTACCAAACGTCAACCAGGTTACGTGATTTCTTCCTTGTTTATTTTTCAGAGCCCGCCTCCCCCCCCGGCACCACCCCCGCCATGGAGCAGTACTGTAGCATTTCACAGGTAAGGAAATTGAGGCTCCGAGAGTCTCTGAGGCCACATGGCTCACCAATGAGGAAACCAGTGCTGAGAATGGAGGTTTGAGCATCAAGTTAAGCCTGCTCCTTCCTATTCCCATCCCACCCCCAGCTGCTGTACCGTTCACAACTCCAGTCAGTTGGTACATAAGGTGTATGATGAGATTTGGACAATGTGCCAGCGATGGGCTGTCCCATCATTACAATCCTACACGTGTCCCTCTTCCTACGTACACGTGGCCACTTGAGTGCCATTGACATCTTTTTCAGTCCAGCCCTGAGCAGCCATCGGCTCAGGGCTCACCTTCTCAGTGCAGGTGACTCTCCTCCACCTCAGGCAGGTGCAGCGCGGGCTGGGTCCCTCCCTCTGCCCTGTCCTGACGGGTAGAGCTCAAGGCAGAACCTAGAGACGCCCCCGCCCCAGCGAGGGGACCACACACATACGGCAGGACACTGGCTTGGAGGCTTGTCTGGTCTGAACTCTATTGAGGGAAATCTCTGGAACTCTGTTTTACAGCAACTTGGGGTGAACACATCCACAAAACAAGGAGTGATTTGTGTGAGCAGCGGGCTCACCGGTACATGGGTGTGTAAGTCACACATTTGTCCTTAGATGGACTCAGCTATCTTCACTGTGTGGATAAAGTAGTTGGCAGTTTCTGTAAGTGACTCACCCAGGATCATACCCCTAATAATACCATTAGACACTGCTGAGCGCCAGCACCCATGGTCTGAAAAACAACCCAAGTCAAAAGACTAACATGAAACTGTGGGAGTGGATGGGGGGTACCCTGTCTGCAGGCTTTTCTCCGATGGGATATTCACAGTGTGGCAACTGAGCCATGGTCAGGCCGGTGGGCTAATCCATCCCTGACTTATCACCGGCTCTTGGAGAAACCACACTAAAGCCAGGGCCTTACTGGCCACACGGAACATTTGCTGAACACACATTCAACTTGGCTCGCTAACTGTAAATAAACCCCCACCGTTCTGAACCTGAATAGTGCACAGGAGTCAAAGGACAGAGGCTCAAGCCCCCAGCCTGCCATGTACTAGCGATGTGACCTGGGGACAAAGTTGAGCACTACTCTCCACATCTGCAACACAGCATCGCACTTACCTTAAAGGTGTTCTGCAGATCAACCAGATCGGACGAGCCCCAGCCATGGGAGTGCTAGGCAAAAATTAGGTAGCTCTTTTTCCTTTAGTTTCTTGTCATCTGGGATGTTATTTCCCAATGGCTCACTGAGGTCACTCAGATACCATGAAGTCCACCCTTTTCAAGTGCACAGGTTTTAGTAACAGCTCGGTAACCTCCCCCTACTTCCTCCCGTTTCCTCTTGTCCACCTGGTGAGTGACCCTGCAGAGGTCAGCTAACGCATGGGCTCCTAGGACGTTCTCTTCCTGCTTTTACTAAGCACACTTTGCATTGTGATTTTTACACTATATTTACTCTTCGTCCCGTCAACTATGAATAAGACGCATAGAAGCTGCTAACATCACACAGCACTTTAGTGTGTAGACTGCCCTCTGCATCGTTTACACGTTTACTCGTTGGATCTACTTTAGTTTCCTACACTGTGTCCACAGCAAACACTTCATTTATAAAATTAATGCAAGACGGTAATTTGAATTCCTCTGTGGCCTGAGGGGAAGTCATAAGATAAAGGACACATTTTAAAGTTTCACTCTGAAATTCCCCAACAGCACACTTGCATCAGCGAGGGTTTTGTTTGTTCTTTAACGTTTTCTAGCCAAAGCAAACATTCCAAAGACTTGAAAATAAGAGGCACAGTCCAAACATCGGAAAACCTGCATGGCCACCGCTGGTGACTGGTTATGGAGAACAAAGACACCAAGTGCAAATCCGGGCCATTTCTCCGCCAGCCTCGGAACCCCTCCCCCGCCCACCCTCTCACCTGAACCCACGAGAGCCTGACATCTGGTGATTGAGAAACGCACAAGCGTCCCGGCCACATTGGAGGCGACCCACTCGTTCAATTCCAACACTAGTCCTCTCTTCCGCACGCACCTGAACAGCGGGGATAGCTGTTCATCTGAGTGGACAGAGGAGGGAACGGAGGCTCGGGGATCATTGCTGGCCCAAGATCACTCCTGGGAAGAGGAGGAGGCCAGACCCACACCCACGTCTTTCAATTCACAGTCGTTTGCTGGGCAGAAATGCCGCTGCGGGAGTTTAAACAAAGACTTAGAGCTTCCCAGGGAAGGCATGCTAGCTGGGGGCGCAGGGGAGCCAAGGTCAGGACGATGGGGCATTTGAACTGGCCTGGGAAGACGGACGGGGTTCGACAGCAAGTCGTTCGTTTGGCTGGAGAGAGCTGTGGTGTGAGGGGGACAGGGGCACTGAGGTCAGGTGAGACGTGCTCTGACCCAGGCTTCCGCAGGAGGGAAGGTGTCACCCTTGAAACTCCCGAGAAGCCTCCCTTTTAGGAGGCAGGGCTGCCCCGGAGCGCGAGGACACACTGTCTCCATGAGCAGAGGGGCCCTTTGTTCTGGTGGCATGACAAACACTGCGGAGCACAAAGACCTATTCAGCGAGCCTTTTCTTGCTGCCCACTGGCCGAAGGGAAACCTACTTTCCCTGAGCGCTGATGTTCGGAGAGTAGCTATCACAGCAGCAACCTGGGCAGAGAGACTGGGAAAGATCACCCACATTCACGCCATCCTCAGGTGGTTATTCTTCAAGGCTCTCGGCCAAAAACGTCAACCATCCCCAAGCTCAGGAAAAGCCGTTCTAATGACTTCATTCCTACCCAGGCCTCACTATGCTCCCTGTTCCTCAAGAAAAAGCTTATAAAATATAGTCAGGATAAATGTATATAATATCTATAGAGACACACACACAACCTATTTCTCAAAGCTGTACACATTATTTGGATGATTACAAGGAATTAAAAAAAACCATTCAGTCTAGTAATGTTATTTCATCATCTGTAAAAATTTAAAATGAAGGAAAATCCCTCCAAAATGTATTGGAGGCCATCAGAGGACAGCCAGCCTGTCCTTCTGTGACGGAACGTTATGAGTGCTCAGACGGAACCCAGACGCGCTGCTGGCAGAGGTCAGAATTCTGAAGACAGCCGCCCCGCCCACCCCACCTGCTCAGTGTTCTGCGAGCCTCCGCAGACTCAGTGAGTTGATTCATGAGATCACAATAGGAGTTTTTCCAGTTAAGCTTTACAGACCTGTCCCGGCCCCCAGGCATTTTGCAAGAGACTTGAGACTCGTGACCAACCTCTGACCTACCCCCAAAGTCCTAGGAGGGCCTCTGGCCAGCAGCCGGGGTACCACCTCCAGGCGAAGGGGTTTCACTGTCCAGTGAAAGCTGCTGGGCCCTGGGAAGCCCCTGAGGTCCTGACTAAGCGGGGGAAGTTGGGCAGCTGCACTTTCTTTAAGGCACATCATTGCCATCTCTGGAGTTTTCACTAAAGCAATGGGGTCTCTCCATATATCACACCTAATAACGCGAGTAATCCTCTGAGGTATTTATTGTGTAGCTTCAGAAAAAAACTGAGGCTTGAAAGAGAAATGCGCCCTAACCGGTTTGGCTC